TAATTGTACGTTCTTGTTTATTTTGAGAATTCCCGATAATGAAGCTTTCCCTTCCGCCCATTCTTTGTCCTACTGTACCTTATTTTCCGAAAGAGACAACAATTTTTAATCCACCAACCTAATGAGCCCATATACCAGTTCCTCCATTACTCCTGACTCCAGAACGTCTCTCCTTCGTTCCATCCTGTCATGTCACATTTCCTTCATCAGAGTCGGAAATAGGAGCCCCTCTCCTGCTTGACTAATTATTCTCCAACGCCTTTTCCCATCCCTCTAGAACGAATTCGTCGTCGTCCCCTCGTTTCTTCTCATCTCCCGGCTAATATGCAAAGCAGTCAGGAAGCATGAATAATGGCTCAAGAGGGCGGTCCATGAAACAACAGAAAGAGAAGGGCAAGTCGAGGAATTTTCATTCCCGGCCAGAAAAGAGCACAACTCTCTGCGTTTTTGGTTAATTATTGACGACTGAGTTGACTTCCATTATTCTTGTCTCTCCCTCCCCTCTTTGACACCATCTTCTCTTTTTACGATTTTTTCTTGTTTCTCCCCTCTTTTTTACATTAATTTGTTTAGTGAATTGGAAGAGAAAAGTTGTAAGAAGCATAAAGGTTATGAGGGCAACCAGTTACTCAGGATCCAAAAGATGACTGCGAAGATGGGTGACCTGGCCACTCTGATTGCTTTTTTACAGTAGGTTTGGAATATTGTGGTGACTGGGTAGTGTAACTGGAAGGAGATTTTTACTGTATACCTACTGTAATTGATTTTCCCCGTAACTTATAACTTTGAGCCAATTCATCTCGGTTCATGATAACTTCATAAGCATTTCATGAGTTGACACATTTTTGATGTCTTGCATAGGAGAAACGAAAATATAACTTAAACTTGACAGTGTGGGGCCCTTTTACTACAGGTTATACGGTATTAATGTCAATTCTAAACAAAAATTTGATTGCAGTAATACCTATTAAGCTTGATAGACCTACTTCCTCTAATTGAATGGCTTATCTTACTGCAACTTAAACCTCATCCCATACTTGTAAGAACTTTCCACTAACAAAATATTTGGAATGTTCCAAGAACATTGGGGTCAAACCAGAATTCAGAGAAAATACAATAATTCAAGTTTCTCCGACACAACTCGTTTTCCATTTTTGTGATTCAACACTTACTACTGTAGCTTGCCTCCTAACCTACGCTTTTTTCGATTTTTCATCTACAAATTAACAATATCTAAAGCTTTATTTACCGTCAAACCTGTAATAAACGGGCGCCTACACTGTCAAGTTTGAGCACAGTTATCTCAATTCCTATGCAAGATATCAAAAATGTGTCAACTGACAAAACACTTCTGATATTATGATAAACAAATTATCAGTTGACAACTTTTTTATATCTTTGACGAGAACCGAAATAAATTGGCTCAAAGTTAATGGGTGCTTCTAATACAGGATTTACGGTATACTTTCAAGAAATCCATTTGAGTCTCTTGAACTCATTATATCGATAAATCCAAATTATAATGTTTTGCTTGAATAGAAAACTATAACAATGATTTATGTTTCTCCATTTCATTCGGGTATTTTGATTCGGGTATTATCGTAAAAACTTCACTTTCAAATTCCGAATTTTGTGTAAATGAACCTTTTCAGTGGATACCTGTTGATCTCCAATCCCCCACACCCAACACTTTCTCCTGCTCTTTTCCTAGCCGCCACACCCTATCCTTATACAGTCTTTAGTATTTATTCACATTCTCCGTTTCCTTCCTTAATCATTTTACACCCCATCCACTGATTACAGACATGTCCAGATGCTGTGTCCAATCAAAGAAATGTCCCGTAATTTCGTCACTAGAAAGCTAACAACCGTATTTAATTGTTCCTAGGTTTATGATCTACTCATTGAAAAAACTTTCAATAGTCGTAAAATCATTGAAGGAAACGGAACTTTTGGATAAGTGGGGGCTTTGCTTGATTTCATGAGTCTAGAAGAGAGTGGTAATGGCAGAACCAAAAGAGAAATAGAAAAAAAAACGAAAAAGTATAATTCGATTATCATGGTTTCCTCGTTTTTCCTTTCCTGCCTACACTCCGCCCATTTTCTGCTTTTTCTTCTTATTCTAAAAGGTCGTTGACGTCTTCTTGCCCGTTGCGCAACACTTTCCATGTTATCGTTCAGATCTGGACAGGAATTCGGGTATTTCGACACCACGAAGCAAAAAGCTTCAACTGACTATTCTACATTTTTTATGAATACGCGCAAAACACATTTTTGACATGCTTGAAGTTTGACAAATTCTGAAAATCCCTGATCATCAAAATGTGACACTTGTATACATCATGGAGATGATTCCTCTTGGGAGTTTTTGTTTTTTTTGTACATTTCTCATTTTTCTCTGATTCCCAGGAGTTTGGGTAAGTCATTTCTGCTTTCAATAATTAAAAAATTGATGGCTTTTCGAATGGCACTTTGAGAGAGTTTCAATTGAACCGTCACCTTTGAGCCTATATATTTCATTTCCTGTAAGATATCAAAAAGTGATCAACTGTCAAAATGTTTATCATGATTTCAGAAATATTTTGTTAATTAACCACTTTTTGATATCTTTCACAGAAAATGAAATATATGGGCTCAAAGATGACGGTCCCGGTGTCACTCTATTAGGGCTCCGTGGCACTTCGAAACCGAAATCGTGATAATACAAGCAAACAGATGAGCTTTAGACCACAAAAACAATTTTAGGATTATCAAATATGCTTCTTCTCAAAACTTTTGAAATTGGAAAAATTAATTTTTTTTTGAAAAAATTTTATTGAAATTTTCGAATTTCAAAATTTATCCTATCAGTAATAGTATTTTCAAAAACCATGAGATCGTTTTTGTAGTCTTAAATTTATTCTTTCACCTGTATTACCACGGTTTCGAAATGACTGGTTTCGAAGTGTTTCGAAGTGGACCGTTCGCGCTTTTCCCCATGATAATTTGTCTCCTCAAAAGTTGTCACTTTTCGAGTTTCCCCCTTCTCAAAATATTTCAACTTTTCTCCTCGTTTCATTTTCTTCTCGCTTCGTTTCTATACCATCCCGTTTATCTTCATGGATTGCGCAAGCTTCTTCCTCTTCTTCCGACAGTGTTTTTTTTTCTTGGTTTCTGTATTGCCTATTCTTCTGATCACCTTGTCTTTTGTTGTTCCTAAACATCCCCCACTTCTTCATCATCAACGTTATCCATTCCAATCACTATTACGCATTCATTATGTCACAGTTTTATTGGACAAAACAGTAGCAAAAGCTATGCTTCTTCTTCATCTTCCTTTACAAAGATAATCTAATTTCGGTTAGGATTCACATTTCAGATGAAAAGAAGAAGAAGAAATAGGAGAAAGAAGAGCAGAGGTTGTGCTCCTCTTTTTTCTTCTTCATCATATTTTCTTATTCCGTAACCTCATTTTTACATCTGTATTGTTGTTCTTTCATCCACGTCTTCAGAAGATCTACCCACGTCTTCTGAACAAATATTTTTTATGTCTTCAAAAGTTTTGTCCATTTTTAAACCATCCAAATACTTCAGAATCTCTGACACGTTTTAAGCTTTGAAGTATCACTATTATTCAATCATCTCATTTGAATATACTACATCTTCTTCTGCATATTCTCCTCGAATTAACCTCTATTCAATTCCAAAAATTAGTTCAACAAGTAGTTTTTTTTGCTTTCGACGCAAATTGTGTCGTAAATTTCCTCGTTTCCTTCCCGTTATGTATGCTTATTTGTCGAGTGTTATAAGTATAGATAATGACACAAATTACGTAGCATCTGCCATTTTTGTATGAAATGTTTTAGGAGACATTTAGGCTATTTATCTGGAAAGCCCTTGAACTATTCTGTGTCACTTTCGATCATTCTGGATCTTTGAGGATGATTTTTTTTTTTGGATGGCCGTAAAACCTGTATTAGAAGGGTCCCTCTAACAGAAGGGCCCCCCGTTTTCAGTTGAAAATATTCCGGAAATTCCAGAATTAAACAGGAATTTGTTGAGAGACGCTCTAACTGCATAATTTTGAGGAAATTGATAGATTTTTAAGAATTTTAAATGAGATTTCACCTCATTTTTTGATGCAATTTTCAACAAGACTTGTCTGGAAAAATAGAAAGGATCCTGCTATAGAAGGGCTCTCTGGACGTACCATTCAATGGTACGTTTCAATTTTAAGCCAGGTTTTTCGAACTATACAATTCTATAGCGTTTCCTGTCGATTGTAGTTATTGTGTTACTGTAGGAAGCTCTCGTTCAGTGAGCAATAATTTTTTTCTTCCTATATACCAGAATTGACTTTCTAGCTATTCAAAACTCTTGATTTGAGCGGCATATGAATACTTTAAACACTCTAAAAGAAGGCCACCCCAACCGTCAACTTTGAGCCTATACACCTCGGTTACTGTGACAGATATCAAAAAGTGGTCAACTGACAGAATGTTTATCATGTTATCAAAAATTGTTTTGTCAGTTGGCCACTTTTTGATATGTTTCACAAGAAACAAGATAAATTGGCTCAAATTGCAAGTATAGGGTGGCGTCCTATTAGAGTGTTTACGGTATATTGTCAAAACGTTGGTTGTCGTCTTTTTTCAATAAATTAAACAGTTAAAAAAGATAGTCTGAACACCAAACAAGATTCTCGATTATATTTGCATACTCAATCGTTTTCTGTCATCTCAAATCTTTTGATTCCATACGTTCAACCAAAAATCCCAACTTCCCCCCACATAAAGCCATCTTGATCAATTTCAATTCCATCTCCTTTTTCTCCAAAACACCCAATTTTACACTTTTTTTTCTTCATTTCTTTTTTGTTTCTCTAAACCTCTCTTGCTTCTATTATCTCTCTTTTCCCACTCTCTCTCATACCAAAATAAACGTTTTGTGGGCGTGTCCGTCATCTGCTCCGCTGGAGCCGACCCTGGACTCGTGAAGAAAGGCAGATCGTGTTTTTGAAAATGAATTGGAGATTCTCACAGCTTTTACTTCTTTTATTGTGTTTTGATGGACCCGGTGGTGTCCGGTGTCAAGAGGAAGAGCCAGTGCCAAGAAACGAGGTTCTGGGAGAGCCAACAGTGAGGTTAGTGACCATTTTAATTCCTTCAAAGTGCTTCTATTATTGAAATGTATAATTAAAAGAATCCCAAAAGATTAGTTTTGCAGTTGTACATATCCTTTTAGTGCTCATCCTTTTCTGGAGCATATCTCTCTCTTTCACCCTATCTTTTTAGTGCTCCCGTAGCTTCTTCGTACGTTTTGGTGTCACAATGCGCAGGATTAATGGCTTCGAAAGGGGTTTCCAAAAGGCGAAGAGTATCACATTTGCATATTTGACCGCCCTAAACGGAATCTTTAGACAGTGTAGAAGACGAAGAGACGCAGTATGTTTTAGGCAGAAAAAGGAAACGAAATGGGTTTCTGAACGGAAGTTTTGTAGAATTGGAGAAAGGGAGAACCAAAAAGCAATAAGAAAAAAGAAGAATGAAAAACAAAACAAAATGTGGACAATGAGATGGGAGGAGAAGCTGTGAAATGACAGATAGATTACATGGATTACTGTAGTTGGATTGGAGAAGGTTTAGGTTCAGCAAGTTCAGGTAATGCAGAAGTTATGTTCGATAATTGGGTAAATCTGGTAATGGTTTCAAAGTTTTCTGAAACTGGGGATTCTGAGATACAATTTTATCCATACTTGGAAACGGGGCCCTGGCGGGCCTATGCTGGATCTTTCATAGTTTTTTTTTGGGGCAATATGTTCTGACAACTAAATTGAGTGTGATAGAACTCGACAAGTACTACAAAACGATACTATTTTGAAAACTGCTACTTGCTTATGAACATAGTTATAAGATGTAACGCGGTTAATCCTTGCCAGGCCGGACCCTATCTGCTTTTTTCGGTCCGTTTTGTCTGTAATTTACCGTGAAACCGGTAATAGAAAAACATTTTTAAGCGGTACACTAGTAAATTGTTTATCATAATATCAGAAGTGTTTTGTCAGTTGACACACCTCGCATAGGAATTGAAAAAATTGGGCTCAAACTTGACAGTGTTGGGCCCATCTGTTAGAGGTTTTACGGTATTTGGTCTAAAAATATTGCTTCTAGAAGATGGCAGGGCCCGGTTTAAAAGTATGATTATATCTCGGTCGTTTAATATTTAGCCGTATAAACTTCTTTTATATTTTCTAAACCGACAAAATTCCTATTCCAACTATTTTGTCGTCAATGAAGTCGAGAACATAATATGAATTTCAATGTATGTCGACATCAGATTTTCGCATCTTTTTGTTTGCCATATTTCTCAAATTTCTCCCTTGCTTTTTTTATTCACTTGAGCAGCAAAAAAACTTCCTTGAGCATATTTGTACAGTACAGTTTTAATGTAAATACCTATGCAAGCTCTGAAAACCTGAATACTTTTCGAAGAACAACGTATAACTTCTCTTGTCAAATTGTATATTTTGACTACTACTCCGGAAGGCATGTAACCCGGGGCGTCGGAAGCCGTCATTCAGTGGTGGTCGAAATCGAATGCCATTTCATTTTATTTCATGCAATACCCCCCACTACCAAACAACACGGGACCGCCGACCCAACCAAATAGGGAGCCTGCTCAAACATTTGTTCTCTGCGTCTCTTCATGCTTCTAACACTATTTCGCATTCCCTTAAAAACCTCATCATCTTTTCGAGTATTTTATATTAAAATCGCCGGAGCCGATTTACATATTAGTTTGGTTGTATTCGGGAGCATGTAGTGAGTCTGGAATGACCGTTGATCATGAAAATGAAAAATAGGAAAAAGGGAAAAAGAATAAGAATAAGGTAAAAGTAGAAGGAGAAGAAAGATCCTGATTCAATTTTGTGGTGAGCTGCTGTAAAACGAGAGGGTTTCAAACTCGATTTCGTTTTTCTTTTTGGAATGAAAAAAGAAACATTTTGAGAAGAGAAAGAATTTAAAAGATAAAAAACTAAAATTATTTTTTTTAGAATTCATAATTTTTCAATGTTTTCAGCTGCGCAGCTGATGCGATATATGTCAAACTTCGAACAAAGTCAACATTTCTGGGACACGTGGATGTTAAGTATACACCTGATAAATCCTGCTTCCAGGTCAGAAACCTCCATTTTACGACACCCTTGACACACTTTTTACAGAGTCTTGTGACAAATAACCAAATTGAAATTCTGATTCCCCATGAGGAATGTATGGTGCCAAGAAGGAGGTTGGTTATTTGTTTGAGTGTCCGAAGAAAAGAGATTGATGGAGAACATCAATCACAAATTCATAGGAAATTTATTAGAAGGAAAAATTCTTGGTGATATAAGAAGATGAAATTTTCAAAATTTTAAACATTCGTTCGAACAGAGCCCAGCCTACAAACTTTTCTGTTGGTTCACAGAAATATAAGAAACATAGTTATTTCGGGATTTATGTGTGAGAATTATAAATCACAAACATTTTTTGACCATTTTCATCATAAAACAATTCAATTTTGTTTTTTTTTAGTTTTTTCATAAGAAATTCAGGTCAACAAAACAGAAAAAATTTATTGAAAAAAAGTAAAAAAAAAACAACAACAAAAATAACAACGTGAGATATATTTCCGTGAACCTACAGAAGCGATCTCGAGATCGCTTCTGGGAGTTTTGAAAAAAGAAGCCTGAAAAAATAAATATATTAATATTTCCCGTGAACCTACAGAAGCGATCTCGAGATCGCCTCTGGGAATTTTGTGAGAGCGAAAAACATCCAGAAACAATCTCTTGATCGATCCTGTAAGTTCACGTAAATCTGCCAATTTTCGAAAAATATCGTGAAATTTTGAAATCCACAAATTTTTCATTCTGAAAATGGGCTCCCTTACTAGTAAGGGTATCGTGTTTTGTGATTCAATGTGAATTTTTGAAAAAGGCGAGAAGTATTTCTAGCTACATATTTGTAATATTATCTGATAATCATGTTGATTTTTGAAAAAATTGAGAAATTTCAAATTCAACAAGATTTTTAAGTAATCCGTTTCAAGGAAATAATATACTTTTTGATCCCCCAAACGTGTCAAAT